CCATGTCCTCGCTGCTGAAGGAGGAGCTGGCCAAGCGGCTCTTCGGGCCGCTGCGGCGGCGGCTGCACGAGTTCATCGAGGTGGAGGGCGCGGGCGCGGAGCGCCGCTACCTGTGCGCCGCAGGTACCGCTGCGCGGGGACGGGCGCGCAGCGAGGGCGGCTCCGCGCGGGGCTGCCGCAGCGCGGGCGGCCCCAGCTCCGTGCGGGACCCGCGGCTGCGGCCGGGCGTTGCCTCCCTTTGCTGACACGCTCCGAACACCCGGAGCGTTGGGACGCGCGYGGCGACGGGCCGCTCGCAACGCAGCCGTCGAGAAGCGTTCGGGAGCTGTGCAAGGCGCAAGGGGCCGCTTTGCTTGTGAGAGGGCGATACGTTTCCGCGGCGCGGGAGGTGCTCTTACAAAGCGTGGGAGCTCATTGCGCTCGCCCGGAACGGCTGGGAGCTTTAGAGCTTTTGCGCTGTCCCCTGTTTTGGATTTTGTGCCTGAGCCCTATATTCCCACCTACAGAAGTAGTAATAAATTAATCTCGTGTCTTAAATATTTCAGTGGGTGATTACCAAGAAGTTTGAGCAAACTAAGATAGTTCTGACAGGCTTAAATTAGAACACTTTGAGAAAAGCCTTTTATTTTTGCAGTACTGGAGGAATGATTTTAGCCACATTTACTCGTTTTTGTAAATACTGAGAGTCTTTAGAATACTTACTCTGTTTTACCTATTATGACAGTGACTGAGCCAGCTATGTACAGTGCCACAAATCTTTTCAATAGAAAGCATTTAATATATTAGAACTGTGAAAGTAATTTCCGTTTCAAGAAATGGATTCTTGAGTTTTGTAGTTCTTCTAGATGCACAATCAATCAACTCGATCTTCTACCTTATAGAACTATCAGGTAGATGTTTGAAGTTGTGTGTGGTAGAACTAAAGAGTTCACTACAAAACATTTAAAGAAGAAAAAATAAAATCCTGTAACCTTTAAAATCTTTACTGAAATTTCCTTTTCAAGTGAGTGAAGAGCAAGCCATTAAAGAAAGCCATTAAAATTAATAGGACTCTCTGAAGACATAAAGGAGAATTTATGTTGAATATTAAGAGTGAGATCCCTCCAGTATCCAATAATATTCTCAGGAATAGCAAGACAGTGGTGAGTAAAGTGGAAATTTAATTCTTAAAGATGAGCTGCATCCAGCATCTATTGTAATCAGTAGGATTATTTTTCAGTTTGAGTGCCATTTCTGTGAGTTTCTATAACAGACTGGAATTTCCAGGCATTAGAATTTCAATAAATATTGAGAGTGAAGCTTCTTAATTCTTTTGTTGTTATTTAATTACTTTTAAAGAGCATTTGRCAATGTCGCAAGTATCAACAGTTGCAAGTATCCATGCTATCCATGCAGTTAGTCAAGAGCAAATCATACTATCTCAAATCTTAATGTAGGCTCATTATAATTACCATTAAGTTCAAGTTAGTCATAACAAAAGAAAATCGCTCAAATTACTTTTARGGAGGAAACTACAGAGGTCTATACCCTTTATAGTCTATTGTTACAACAAAATCTCAGTGTAGTGTAGAAATCTTATTTTCACAGCATATGTTCAACATAATTGTTACTCATTTGGATGACTGTTAGTCCCAGTTCCTGAGTGAAGACTATAACATGAAAAAAGGTAAAGCTGAAATACAACCAAGCAAATCTATATTGATATGGCTGGGAAGAATGGTAGGGATAACATTATATATTAATAATATGTAATTAATATTATTAATATCACAGAATCACAGAAKATTCAAGGTTGGAAGGGACCTCTAGAGATCATCTAGTCCAACCATCCTGCTCMAGCAGGCACACCTAGAGCATGTGGCACAGGGTGGCATCCAGGCGGGTTTTGAAGACCTCCAGAGTAGGAGACTCCACAACCTCCCTGGGCAGCCTGTTCCACTGCTCTGTCACCCTAACAGTAAAGAAGTTSCTCCTCACCTGGAGACGGAACTTCTTGTGYTTCAGCTTGTGGCCATTACCCCTCGTCCTATCGYTGGCCACCAGTGAGAACAGCYTGTCCCSTTCCTCCCTGCATTCTCCCTTCCTGAACTTATACACATTAATCAKATCCCCTCTCAGCCTTCTCTTCCCCAGAGAAAACAGGCCCAGCTCACTCAGCCTCTCCTCATACGAGAGATGTTCCATTCCCTTAATCATCCTAGTTGCGCTTCTCAGGACCCTCTCGAGAAGCTCCACAATGAAATAAGTTAAAAATTAATACATTCTAAGATTAACTTACTTTTTTTTTTTCTTTTAAGAAAATCTGTTAATTCTTTGATAAACATCACTGAGAAGGTGTGATTGGTCTTGCACATAGGACCAGAAAGAGAAAGACAGCAACATGGACTTCTTAGGAGACTGTTCAAGAAGCTAGAGGATGATAGAAATTATACCCAATTTATATATTATTCATTATTTTGAATACCTTGGAAGGTGGAAAGGAATATCAATGCAAAATAAACTAAGGTTATATAAGTATTTTCTTATGAACATAGATCTCACTTTAAGTGAGAAGTAAAAGACATTTTGACAGAAATAAGCTGTGGAGCTTATCTGAGAAGATAACATTATGTCAGTTTTAAAATGGGTTTTCAAAAAGCATTTAGAGACAGCATTTAGAATTAAAAGAAAAACTATTGCCACATGTTCTACAGAAACACRAAAGGAAAAAAAAAAAMCACACATCAAAACCAAAAACATGCAGCGACTTTGTGCTCTGTCCATAGCAACTATCTTTGGTCCTTTGTCTGTAGCCTCATGCTATGGAGGCAAAATGCTCCTGTCAAAAGTAGGTGACATCAAGTGCTTACCTGAGGCTGCAAGATGGCTTGGAGAAGTGGTCGCCTCTCCAGTTGTTAGGCTGGATGTGCAGGAGATGTAAGGAGGAAAAAAAAGTAGAAATTGATCAAAACATCAGTGTTCAGACTASAATGCTTTTCATACTAATTACTGCATTTTACAGAGGTCTGATCTCCTACACAGCACTTAATGTAATCAATTAGTAATGGCAGTGAGTACAAAGAGCGTCTCCATACTCTTTTCCCCTTATTTCCTGCCTAATAGTAAGAAATAGTAAATTCTATAAAAATCACACTAGGCAACTTTTCTCAAAGTTTTCAGTGTTATTTTTGTTAAGTGGCATTCATATGTATTTTGTAGCAAAATTAAGTTTTATAAAAAATGGCCACATAAGAGATCTTCCATTCACAGAATGGAAGATATAGTGCAAGTCACGTAAAACCACAGCCTCGATTGTGGTTTCGCAGCTTCCTAACTGTGGCACCTCCAAAAGAATCCCCCTCAGAGTAAATAGGATAAGTGGATCATCCACAGCAATCCAGTGTCAGAATTGGGCTTTCTTTTCATTGCTCCTGAATTCAAATGCAGGGCTCTCCCACAAACACAATTCTGTTTTCACAGGTTGGATAAGGTGGATCTACTAAAACTCATGGGCTTTGCAGACTGAGAACATTAGTCTACCTCTAATCACTTTGCAAAACAAAACCAATAAGTCCAGTATAAAGATATACAGTTCTAACTAACATTAGTTATTATTTAAAACGCAGTTTAAGTCATCTATTACCAGAAAACTTCTTGGRRAGTATTTRTCTGAGTAAATAAACCATGCTTTTYCTTTTCTTTTTTTGCAGTGACCAAAGGTGAAGAAGTAGAAATATGTATGGTTAAACACTTCAGAGTAGATCAAGAGGAGCAATTTGAAATAGTTGAAAAGTGGTTTTTAAAAGACCTGGAAATGATTGATGGAAAAGAAGCAGATACTGTAAGTGTTATGTATTATTAAATACATATATAAAGTTTTCTTGTGTTGCAATTTGTTATGCAATTATTGAAGTGCAATTAAAGTGCATTATCTAAAAAAAAGAAATTATGTAAAAAAGGATTTTTTGTTTATTATATGTTCAGAGGCTCTGGATTGCATTTGCACTGCTTGTAAGAAAAATGGATTTTATCTCTTGTCATTTTTTCATTAGCCTTTGAATTCCTCTTCAGATCTGTGAATAAGTTAGGTGATTTCTCATTTGTTCATTGTAACTGGGAATAAAACTCTAMAAGTGCTGTACCAGTATAAATCTGTGTTAATTCTATAGATTCTATAGATTTAAATAGATGTATTTGAAATCAAAATTTAACTCCATTTTGCTCTGTTGTGAATTTATGAACCTATGTTCTCTATGCGGCAAAAGGAACTTGTGTGAATGTATAAAATGTCATGTAAGTACATGGTTTGGTTTATGAGCTTAAGAAATAGAGCCAAATTTTGCCTCTTTCATATAGCAATCTCACTCGCATTATGTGCAACAGTCTCATACTAACGTTAATAAAGTATCTTTGGCTAAATTTGTGTCAACAAAATATCTTTGGTTAAATTTGGCTCATTATCTTAACTGCTAAAAGATTCATAATCTCTCAGATACAACTTCAGAAGGCTAAAATAAGATTAAAATAATACAAAACATACCAAAAGTAGAATTAAATGCTATTTTATAAAACCTGGAAGTATATGCTGGAGAGAATATTTTACCAAAAAGATATTTTAACAATCATTCACATGTGATTGTTTTCACAAGAAAAGAATACAGTGCTTTCAAATAAACATCAGATTGAATTCAGATTACATTACACTAGTGAAATGGAAATCAAGATGTGACAAAATGTTTCAGAGTCTTGCTCCAAGGAAAAGGACAATTCATTTTGTCACATCAGCAGTTCCCCTTTGAAAGAAGCCTCCCACAACTCCTGCCCAGGAAGAATCACTCAGACATGCTCTATGTAAGAGTCTACAGGCCCTCTGCATATTGCCTTCAAGTCTAAAATTAGGAATCTGGACATGGAGATGACCTCACATTCACTGTACCCTTGTACTCAGTGGGATCTTTGCAGCATAGTCCAGAGGTGGAAAAAGCCACAAGTGATTCTCCTTTCCATCCTCTGAGTTATTGTGCTGCTCAAAATGTCTCTATCCCTTCCCCAACCAAGGCAGCTAGAGAATTTCCTGATCACAAAATGAACCTCAAACTCATAATTATAGGATGATTAACATTGCTATAAATATTCATAATGTTGTTAATCATATTCAAAGTTTAATAGAACTTCACTGCTGCTAGTATTAATTGTGCCAAGGAGTCAAAACAACACGGAGAATTACAATTTAGGCAGGAAGAGCAATCAATATTCTTCTTCTGACAGGCAGATATATTTATAACCCAAGGCAAGTGCTTTTCATAACATGTGTTTTACACAGCAGGACAAATCATTACATTTCAAAACAAAATTGTATATTCCTAATATAGCGTATCACTTGGCAAAATTTTTCCTCAGGGCAAAGCCCCCCCAAGCTAAAAACTACTATTTTGTAAAGTTTTGAAAAATCCTTTTATATGAATAACAGACATATGCAAAGTTCATCAAACTGAGAAAAGACCCCAGAGTGGCTGTTTTAATGTCTGCAATGCATGTAATAATTTCCCTCTCTTTCTCTCTCTTTAGGATAACCCGTATTTTGATATGCACTTCCACAAAGTCTACAGCATGGAAGCATATAGTTGCGCATCTAAGTACACCTTTGCTCGAACGGTAAACAAACTAAATGAAATGTATCTTAAAAAGGACTTGAAGATTGTGAACTTTGATAGCACATACCTAAATGATGACTCAATCTGGTCATCAAACAACAGAGATTGCTTAGTACTTATGAGGATATGCTTTTATGCTTCCAATCTTTTATGCCTCTCCCTATGTCCCCTGTCCTGAAGATGGATTTTATAATATTAGACTGACTGGTTGATTATTGCTGACTAGAATTTCATGAATCATATAAGAGATAGTAAGAGGTATGCAGTATCTCTTAGTTAATTTTACACGTAAGTCCAAAAAGGAACATGCTTTTTATATAAAAATTGATTATTCATTTGTGTATATTGAGCCTCACTGACAAATACCTAAAAATGYAGAATACTTTCAACGTAGTACCAATAATTCACATTTGATGGTGATCGCTCCTGTAGGAGCAAGTGTTGAACTGTACTTATGTTTGTAGAGGCATAAATTATTCTTCATTAATAGCCAGAAATATTTTAAAATAGTATTTTAAGAGCATTAACAGTTTAACTTATGTCCTAGACATARGAAAACTCAAGCAAACAAATGCAATTGATACAGAAGTGATGCATGTTTCCATTTTCAAACTCACAGAACTACAAAACTCCCTTAAAGAGATCATACCTACCTGCCATACAGGGACCAAGTCCTGGTCCTGTTGAATCGGAGTTTTGCCTTCAGGTTCCATAGGACCAACTTCACTTACACATCTACAACCACTTTTCCTTACAATGTTCAGTAGTTGCTTTAGCCTATCCATTATCCATGATGCCATCTTAGAAGCATTAAATGAATGTTTTTAAGCAAATTGCTTCCTTTGCAGACCTCTTGACATTGTTTTTCTTTCATATCATTAGTGTCTTTGTTGCAATTGATTGCAACAAAGCAAATACCTATTAGGAAATAGATGTTTTTATGTCTCTTCTCTACCTCGCGACCAAGAACCAACAAAACACTTACGGAGATTCTATATAAGCTGTAGGTGGTGAATGCAAGTTATAATTACTATGTAAGTAAGTGATAGACTTCTTAAAGTTAATAGAAATAAAATTCTGAGTGTAATTTCCACCTGATGCTAGCTGGCATATTTAGTGCACTACTTAAATCTATCTCAGTACTTAAAGTTAGATTTAACATGCTGTGAATTCTGCTGAGTTGTTTGGAAAATCTCACCCATAGCAAAAACACAAAAACTAGGCTTGAGACAGTATTATATTATGGTAGAAATGCAGGACAAAATTATAGTTGCATTGACCAGAAGCAGAAGAGGAACAATGTTGATAAAAAGCAGCATAGTGATGCTACATCAGTCAGTTAAGCTAACTAGGTGGTCTTCCTGCTGGCAATGGAGAAAGCAAAGGCAACCTCACAGGCGATTCAAAAAACCCTAAGATGAGTTTCTGGTCTGACCTTCCTTCAGGAGAAAACTTGCTCTCTCTTTTGGAAGCAAAGAGAGAACAAGGAAGASTCGCTGTGGACCAAACCAGCTATGTTCCTCAAGCTGACTGATAAGTAGCCCGCAGGAAACCACAAGCTGGTTAACATATTCCAATACATGCCATCAGTAAAATAGGATAGCCATACAAGTGACTAGTGCTTCATGGTTGCTTTTCACATGGACTCCCACCTTTAAAAACATCTCTGAAGGTTCTTTGAATTCAAAGTTAAAACAAAAACAAGTGAAAATATATTTGGAAGGCCATATAAAATGTACAGCATTTTACTTTTTAATGCTAGTCCTAGTATATATACTAGYGTATATATAAAGGTCATACATTTGATTAGGCAATCTTTGAAGTTGCATATTTTATTCTAGGCATATTCTGTAAGTGATGTTCCTTCTAATACAACTATAATAATTGTATCCCTTGACAGTTTTAAAAGCAATTTTTATGAGTCGCACATCTTCTGGAATTTTTGAGGATTTGTGTTGCACATTTGACACCTAGATATTGTGGGAGAGGAGGACTGTATTTCTAAAAAATGTTTATGAAACTTGGCTGTTCTTTTCAGAATGTCTTAGGATATCTAATCCAAGTATACATTGTAACATGATCCATACCTACAAGATCTATTTCTGAACATCCAACAGTCATAAAGCCATTTCTAATCRCAAGTAATTCACCCTATTATATGTTAGACATCTTCTATTCCGGACWGTGAATAATTGTATTGTACCATATTAAGAAAAAGGAACATGTAATAATAAACACTCCATTGCAATCCTTTTCAGTACATGTACAGGAAGTGAAGCTCTGTATTGTGTTAGAAACTGATTAAAGAAAACTCTAGATAAAAATGACTACAGTGTTCTAATATATTTAATAGACTTGCATAAGTAGTCTATATCTTTCTATTCTTGTATCGTATAAATATGAAATTGGTAAGTCTGTGCTATATGTGGAATATATGCAATTAAAATCTGAATATTTGTCATTAGGATGTGACTTACATTACTGTTCTTTGCTGCCCCTGATCCACAGGTTTAAGATCAGGAAAACAGAGTTTTGAATCAAGACAGAGTTTCTAAAATATTTTTTGAAGGAAGCAGAACAGGCAAGGGGCCTATTCCACGCTGACTTCTGCATTGCATCTAGTTCTTGTTCCCTCCCTTGTTGCGTAGGGTCACTCATCTCATCATATTTAAGTTCTACTTCAGTATTTCTCTCATCTGCCTATCCTCCAATACCTTCAGTTACCTTCACAATATATCTCATAATCTTACCCCAGATGAACGGACATATGTTACATAATTTGTAGTATGTAGTAAAAACTTTATGCAAATCTAAGCAATCCTTCATGGCTATTTTGTCCAGTCTTTATAGATCCAGCCAGAGTCAGCTTCACTGAAAAATTACTACAGTGTAACTTTTTAAACCTTGGCGCTCATGATATATTACAGATGATGTATACAGYACGTTGTTTTGTAAGTTGAAAAATAAAATTATATTCAGTAAGAGGTACTGCACAGTAATCTAAGATTTTCAGTCACATGAGAACATGATAAAATAATGACTGACATTTTACATGTTAGMAGTCCACATGTATTAGCAAGTTAACTATTACAGTAACTTATAAAAGATATTTACCATGGCTTTTTACTAGTAAGGCCTTGGCTAATAGATTTTATCAATCATATCTTACAGGCATAGTGATGTATTAATGCAGCATAAAAAATATGGTTCAAGTAACCTGTAATGATTTCAGTCTTCTCTTAACTCTGCATATAAACCTTGAAAAAGAATATACTAGTTTACATGAATAATGACAAAAATCAGGTATATTGATCAAAAAGGAGTTCCATCACAGCAACATTTGAGCTGTAAATTGTAATTTGTGATTGTGCATCAGTCACAGTTGCCACAAACCCCATATAAGAAAGCATCCTTTTGACTTTAATGACCAAGACTGTAATTTTCAACCAAATCTCTTCAACTTTTGTATTTCTTCCCACTTTTTTTTTTTTTTTTGTGATAGAGATACAAACAAATATAAGAACAAAACAGAATATTAAATAGAAAATCTAGAATGATAAAAATAGGTATATTGATCATATAAAGAAGTTTCTTCCTGTAAGGCAGTTTCTTGCTGAAGGTAATTGGGTAATATTGGGTATGAAGCTAATGGTAGCTAAGGTTAGTTTTGGACATCATTTCTCATGGTTATATTCCAAATTCTGGATGTTGCAACTAGAGTAACTTTTCCATATGGCATATCACTGACAAAGACTGTGAACTACTAATGACACTTTTGGAGTGGGAGTAGAGCCAAGATCTGACTGCTTTTCACGAAAGATGTGATAACAGTCCTAATGCTGTGGMCAAATTTGAGTTGTGACTGTTGCCTTACAGCTAGGATTAGATTTAAGGTTCTTTGTCATTTCAAATTCTGAAATATTGTCATGTTACAACATTAGGAAACTTCTTACAGTATCAGATATATCTGCATTTCTTTTATTAGCAGCAAAGATCTGAAAATGAAAGTACATAGTCTCATTAATGGTTAAATTCCTAGCTATCATGTATGACAGCAAAAAAAAAATGCAGAGTATTACTTAAAACTTCATGACTTTATAAACATTATGTCATATTATACATTCAAAGATTGATATTTTTATTTGATCTTGACAGAGAAGTTGCAAAATATCAGCTAAGTGTATTATATGCCTAAAAATCCATTTGCGATAAACAGTTTAATCAGATTTAAACRATGGAGGTAGGAGACAGAGTATATATGAAGAAAGAGTACATATGAAACACAGTGGAACCAACTGCTTCCTGAAAATATGTGGAGAAGGATCCATTTGAGATATTTACGATCTCAAATGCTTTTGTAGAAAGCATTACATCTAAAATTGCATTTAAGATTCAGTGTTAGGAAAGTTCATCCTGCTTTCAAGAGCTTTTCAGTGAAAGTCTGTCCACAGTTTTAAGAAGGAAGCAGCTTTGGAGTTCTGGCTATCTTCTAAAGTTTATCTATGATAACTAGGTACTTTTAGTAGATAAACAATCGTTGAGCATTTTTCACTAGTTTGAGAAGTGCTATGAAAGAATGGCATCTAATTTCCAAGCTGTCCCCACAAGTTGACTGCTGAAGTAGAGTCATGCTTTGTGGCATCTGTAGACAGAGATTCTTAATAAAACTTCTCCAGCTCCAGAAGAAGGAAAAAAAAAAAAAAAAGTAACAAAGAATGTTACTCATTTAACTTATTTCACTGATAACCAACTAGGGCAAGACTGTTTCAAGATGCAACAGATAACAGAAAATGTGAAATGAAGGTAGATGATCCATGCCAGATATAATAGAACTTCTAAATAGATGGAAAGAAGCATTTTTTCCTCCTCTAAAAACACTTGTCTCCTAAAACACATAAAACTTACTAATTCTGCCATARAAACAACTGATGACACAAGAGACATTCAAATTCAGTGAACATTGTATCAGCTTTGCTTTGGCTCCATCCATGTTATTGTTCCCAAGATATCATTTAATTACGTAGTTGCAAACTCTTCAGGGCGAGGAGTTCTGCCTTGTACTTGCATATAAAACACCTGCCACAGTTCACAAAACAGAAAAATCATACCTACATTATTTTTATCGCTGTTTTATGATTCAGTTACCAAGTAAAGTTTCACAAAACAGCTGACTTGGCCTCACCTAACACCTCACCACTACTGGAGAGTTCTTTCCTCCTAATGTTTCAGTCTGGCAGGGAGCTTTTCAGGGCTTGCTCCTATCAGCTGAATCCATTCAATTCAGAGATAAGCATGAAGCAAGGGAATCCTTTCATGAGGCAAGAAGACATCAGAAAAACACAGAGGCTTTATGAGAAACTCCCAACGGTTTCACCTGCCAACAAAGCAGCTGACTAGGACTGGCTCACCTCAAACTTAGGTGAAAGCAACACAACCCACATAACTACCGAGCTCCACCACACGGCCACAACCGCGAGGCAGCTCATTCGGCTTCTATAGTCTAGCCACGCCGAGCTGCGGCGGTGCCGCCTAACGGCCGCCATCGCCCCGCCCTAACGGCCGCTATCGCCCCGCCCTAACGGCCGCCACCGCCCGCGGGCCTCTGCCCCGCCCCTGCAAGCCCCGCCCCCGGGCCTTCCCCGCCGCTGCACTGCTCCTGGGGGGCGGAGACGCGCATGCGCGCGCGCCGGCGCTCGGCGGGCGCTCTAGTCCGCAGTCTCGGTGCTGGCTGGTGGGAGTGGTGCTAGGGTCACGTGGGCGGAAGTGTCGCGGCGGCGCTCGGAGGCCGTTGGGGCGGGGCCCGCGCGCGGCGGGGGCCGCGGTCGSAGCTGCCGCCGCCGCGTCCTGAGGCGCCGCGAACACCGCGTGGTCCGGCGCGACCCGGCCGGGGCTTTGCGGTGAGAGCGAGGCGGCACTGGCGTCCTCTGCCCCTTCCCCCTGCTCTGGCCCCGCTGGGGGCGGGTGGGCGGCGGCGGGGCCGATGTTGGGCGGGCGCTGGGGAAGCTGCTGGGCCGTTAACGGTCGGGCTGTATYCGGCCGTTGGTTACGAACGGGCTTCTCAGGGGGTTTGCAGCGCGGCCGCGCCTTTTGCTGAGGTTGTTACCCGGTAGGACACTGGGTGTCATGTTTTCCTGACTGGCTGTCACGTTTTCCTGGCTCCTCTGCGTGTGCAGGGAGGCCAAGCAGCGCCTGATGCTGTGTTGAATCATCCCCATGGATTTCCAKCCCGGACGGTGCCTGAGGGGTGGTGTCCCCTCTGTGCTGTGAGGCTGGTGTCCCCCGCTTCACGTAGAAGGAAGAGACTTKCTAATCTTCCCTTGCAGCTGGGATAGTTTGCTGTGAAACAGGCTAGTGGTTTGCAGCAGTTCATCTGGATGTGGGTGAAGTCCTGACTGGAGAAGGAAGGTGCTATATCCAAAATGCAACAGGCTGTTGGTGCCTTGTATGTTCAGTTTATCCTCTTGAAGAATAAGTGTGACAGACTTAAGCAGCTTGGGAAGACGAAGATAGACCAGGAATTCTGAGGAGAGGGAAAGTGTTAAAAAGTGACTAAAAGTGGAGTATTACAGTGCTGTAGGCATGTCGTAGAAACAGCATTTATGTAAAGGTCCTGAGCTCTTTGCAGCACTGATTCCATCTTGGGATATTGSCCCTTTTTATTGAGACCCATGGGTTGCTAATTGTCAAAATTACCAAATTCCTTGAGTGGAAAAAAATGTGCTGGAGAAGTTAGCTCGGGCATAGTGGGACAGAAGACCAAAAAAAAAAAAAACCCCAAGCCAGGGACTTTTCTGTTCAAGTGAAACAGTGACTTTTCTATTTCAAGTGCAGGGGTACCTTTGTGATTTTGCTTTGTGTTTGTCAGAGAAAGCAACTTATGCATCTCTTAGAAATGAAATCCCAACACRTTTTTACATAGTTTTATGATCAGGTATGTGCTGTGCATTAATCATGTTTTTAATGCATTGTAGGATTTTAAGGCATAAATTGAGAGTAATGGCAGAACTAAATAAAAGCACTGAAACATCTCACAAGTTTTGCTATTTCTTGACTACCCAGAGCAATYTCTGTATGGTGTGAGGTCCTGTGAATATTAATAGTAGTGTATTTTTGGGAACTTGATTTTTGCTTTTATGATCTTTGCTAGCTTAAGTATTTTTTTTGTTTGTTTGTTTGGTTTCGTTTTCCTTCTGGAATACAGAGGACTAGACCATGCTTTGCTAGGAAACTAGGTAATGATAGGGAAGTCTCTCTCAGAAGACCACCAAATAGAATATAAAACCCTTACTCTGCTTTAGGAAAATAGTTTGATCAGGGTACTTGGGAATTCTTCCATAGCATGGATTTAACTGTTCATTTAGGATTTATCTATTCTCATGTTACACTTCTTCACTCCATTCTCCGTACATATGGGATGCAGAGGTCCTGATCCTGAATCAGAATGATTTTTTCCACTTCTACAAAGAAAGAATGTTCTGAGCTTTAAAATATGTGTATGGTACATTCAGTCCCTCAAGACTTAAAGTAAAAATTTAAACTTGGAATTGCAGTGTATGGGTGCTGGAATGAACAGCTGCTGCTGATCTGGTGTCTTGGAAACATTATCAGTAGGTGCATAATAATGATTCTGGATTTTAACCTCCATTTCAGGTCATCACTGTAGTGATTTTTAGAATTAGGTTCTTCAGTTGGTCTCATTTGGTGGAGTTTCAGTGCGTACTTGTCTTTATACAGATATTTACAGGATTCACAGCATTTATGCTCACCCATTCTAAACTTCTRCTGCTACCTAGTGTGAAGGAGTGTTCTGTTTTGTTGTGTTTCCTATCTGAACTCATTTTCTTAATATTCCCAATTTACTTTGTTGATAAGAAGCTTTTTGATGTCCATTATATTAATCAGAAAGATCATCCTAGTGTTGAGAAATTACTCTTGTCTACCTGCAGTAAGGTATGGAGCTTTATCTTGGACTTATTCCCAAAATAGCTGGAATTCCATCGAATTATGCATGTCTAGATCATGATTTGTAACTTAGCTGTAAAATGTAGCTTTTAAAAAAAGTACTTGCTATAGGTAAAGACTTGTTTTTGTGTATTTTGCTAGCCTTTGAAGTGTGAATGTAGTGTGAATTCTTGAAATCTTTCAGCTGAGACAAAATGACTGCAATCAAGCATGCCTTGCAAAGGGATATTTTCACTCCCAATGATGAACGCCTGTTGAGCATTGTGAATGTATGCAAAGCAGGCAAAAAGAAGAGAAACTGCTTTTTGTGTGCCACAGGTATTTAGTAATATCACATGGTATTTCTGTCTTTGCTTTTTTATTATTATTATTCAGTTGCCTTCTTCTTAGCTTTACTTACAATATTTCTTGCTTATAAAAACGATGCTTCCATTTTTCTTGCAAAAAGTTGTCACGCTTGTGTTATTGCTTTTATTAAAACAGAAATAGAACACTGCAAGTTTCAGTAAGGTATGTGAGTAAAAGCAGGCAAGGAAGGAATCAATTATTTGTGTGGAATGAGGTGGGCTTTTGAAGGTGACTTTTTATAATGCTTAAAAGGAGGTTTAGTAGATCTSTAGGCTGATCAATCTAAACATGATGCAGCAGGGAGTGCTGATTAGAGTCAAAGAGAGAGGGCTCTGGAAAGACACAGAAACYGAACCGAGTTCTAGTGTTCCTTTGAGAGCAGGTGCCCTTGTGGTACCTCTTCCAAGAAATCTCTCTAGTCCAATATAGCAATAAATTAGCAGGCTAGATCTGAAAATTCTRAAAGTATTTTTATTCAGAGTAGAATCCCTAGTGGCATCTTTGTGTTCTCTCAGTAGTGCAGCAATGTGGCCATAGTTCTGATGAATCAAGGAAATAGCCATTAATTGGCTTGATTACTTCAGAAGCTGTACAGAGCTGCACATCTGGATGACTAAATTTTAAACTGAGCTGTGTGCACTGAGCGTGAAACTTGAAGCATTTTGAGTATTCCAAAATTACTCTTGTGCTTCATTTAACAGTGACCACGGAACGTCCAGTGCAAGTAAATGTGGTAAAGGTAAAAAAATCCGACAAGGGAGATTTCTACAAAAGACAGACTGCATGGGCACTTCGGGATCTTGCTGTTGTTGATGCCAAAGATGCTGTTAAAGTAAGTACGGGAAACTGGGTTTTTTTGTTGTTTTTTTTTTTTTCTTGTTTGTTTGTTTGTTTGGGTGGGATGCCTACTCTCTGCCTAGGACGCTCACTTTTAGTTCTGATAAAGCGCTAACTTACTTGGCCACTCGTCCTATAATTTTGATTGTTAATGTGTTAATTTGGGTTTAATGATACGTGTGTATTACGTGAACCTCATAAATTGAGACTGAATAGTTCAGGTGYGCTTCAATAGAAATACTTGAAATGTCTGCCCAATTTATTATGAGTAGTCTCTTTGGGACTGTACAGAACTGCTCCATAGCACTGTACAGTGCTAGTCTGTACAGTATTTGTCCATATATGTGTATGTATATATATATATACTGGACAAGCATATATACATATGTATGTGTTTGTGTATATATTTAAATGTGTGTTTGTGTGTATATATATACACATATATTTTTATCTGCTTCATTTCCAATGTAAATTTTGATTCCAAAATGTAGTTTCCTTTGAAATAAATCATGACCATCCTATTGGTGTACCTATACTCTTTTTGACAGGACACTCAGAACTTTTTTAATGAATCAAATGTGTAATGAATCAAAAGTGTAAGTAAACTCTGTCTTCTAAATCATGACATCGGCCGCTTATTGGAAAGCGTACACCTTCAASTGAAGTTCTTTTCCATAGAACAAGAAGCATAATCTAATTCTGGCCCATAAAATTCATCAAAATGAACAGGCAGAGATGAAAATTTTTGTTGACTTCTGTATATTTTGTCAATAATTCCAGACATGGGTTTTGGGCAGAAGGCTAACACACAGCGCAACTAGTCGTTCTAGGACAATATATCTTGGAAAGCACATACTGTGTTTCTTTAAACTATCTCAGATTTCTGTGTTAAATGTTACTGTTGCATTGTCTAGCTTGAAAGCATTTTCTTGTTCTTGTAGTGTTGTAGCTCCTTCTTTAAGGTGCGTCTGGATGCCAGTACTAATAYATCAGTTTAAGGCTGACATCTGTGCAATTTACTTTTATACTGTTATTTCAGTAATTAAATGATGAAACTGTCTCTCTTGTTCAGAAAATTATTTATGTGACTGTTAAGCCTGAAAATTGTCTCATCTTTTGCAGGARAATCCTGAATTTGATTTACATTTTGACAAAGTGTACAAATGGGTTGCAAGCAGCACAGCGGAAAAGAACACTTTCATTTCATGTATCTGGAAACTTAATCAGAGATATCTTAGAAAGAAAATTGACTTTATAAATGTTAGTTCACAGCTTTTAGAAGGTAAATTTCTACAACTTTGTTAAATGTGAATTTTAATGA